TGTTCAAAAATAATAAAAAAGAAATTGATCAAAAAAAAAAAACTTGGAACTGGCAAACGTTTCATTTCTAATGTAAACTATACAACATTCAATCAAGTCTCTACACAAGTATCAATACTGTCTTGGTAGCAGTCTCTGGGCATTTTGTACGTGTACTTAGATATCTGCACACCCCTAAATACAACCACAAATCTCTAAGTATGTTACTGGGATTTATGTGATAGAACACAACAAAAGTGTGCAGAATTTTAAAGTGGAATGAAAAAGATACTGTTTAATAGTTTCACCAAAAACAAATCTGAAAAGAGTGATGTACATGTGTGCAGTCCCACTGAGGCAATTCTTTGACTCACTCACATTCCCACAATACTTTGGCTGCAGTTCCAGCTGCAAGTCTTAGTGTTTGTTTCTACCATTTTTAGACAAGACAGAAACACACGCACACTCTATTGCACAGCCTTTCAGTTAGGGCTGATAATGTACTCAACAGTTTCAGTATTACATCAACAGAGGTGTCCAGGTTTTACTGATTTTATGCCACTTTATTTTACATAAAATTAGTACATGCATAATAAAAAACACTCACTGTTGGCATCAGACAGAACGATATTAGGGCTCTTCCCTCCTAGCTCCAATGTGACTTTCTTCAGGTTGCTACTGCCAGAAGCCTGCTGGATTAGATGACCCACCTGATGGACAGAAGTGTACACCTTTATTTCACCTGAAGTCAGTTCAGTGGTAGGAAGTATCTGCTTGAATCAACCTGCACTGAGAGTCTGTAGATCATGCTGTGTATGCAACACAATGAACATGGAGCAGCATCTCCAAACAGCTTCATGTTCCTCTGACCACAGCTGACAAGACTATTAAAAAGTATAAGGTTCACGGGTCCTGAAGAGGTAATTCCATTACTGAATTAAGTAAAAAACTAAAACGTGCAGGACAGCGTCCCTCGAGGACAAGGATTGTCCACCCCTGACACACACACACACACACACACACACACACACACACACACACACAAAAATTAAATTATTAAAAAAGGGTCATAATGTCAAACACTAAGCTGAGGTCCTAAACAGTAAAATTATTTTTATTTTTGTTGCTGTTTGGTATGAACATGAGTTGTCATTTAACACAGACTAATGTTGAACAGTAGCGAACGGCCGTGATCGACAACAAAGGTGGCAAGCTCCTTCGAGACCTTAGACCAGGGGTGTCAAACTCCTGTCCTCGAGGGCCGCTATCCTGCATGTTTTAGAGGTTTTCTTGCTCCAACACACCTGATTTTGGTCGCTGGGTGATTAACATGCTTCTGCCCAATTTGAAGAGTTAATTCAATCACTGAATCAGGTGTGTTGGAGCTGGAAAACCTCTAAAACATGCAGGATAGCGGCCCTCGAGGACTGGAGTTTGACACCCCTGCCTTAGACCCTGCAGCCCGCAGACTCACGTGTCACAGCGCTCGTCTCATGACACCGGAGCCTCCAGGCTGCAGCCCCTCTGGTTGTCTCCCCCATCCCCCCACTTTTTTAAAAGAAGCAGTGATGGACACTGGTTGACCTCCCTGTAACCATGATGTCCGACTTCGGTCTGTCCCTAACAAGCCCGTCTGCTACTGTAAAAAATTACTGTACCATTGTACATGTGCTTGTAGCAGCCATTTTCGCGTGTGTGAAGTGCTACTATAAAGCAATGACGGGAGGGTGGAGCTCATTCTGAAAGGAGCTCAGAACAGGCAGAACTGACCAGATGAAATCTAATAGGAAAATAATTTTGTGTATTAAATCTAATGAACATGATTTGTACAGTCCACAGATGGATCCTAACTTGTTCAGGGAACCAATATAAAACCTTTAAATAAATCAGCCAAAAATATTTTCTGCTGTTTAGATCCATTAATGCAGAAACAGGTGGGAGGGAAGACCACATTCTCACAATATGTTGGTAAAACAGAGAGGCCTGTTTTATTTTAATCCGATAATAATAACAGATATTTATTAAAAATAAAAGACAGAAACAACCTAAAAAAAGTATTTTGAGTTGACTTACATCTGTGGATCCAGTGAAGGCCACCTTGTCCACATCCATATGCTTTGCAATGGCAGCACCAGCTGTTGGTCCAAATCCAGCCAAGATGTTCACAACACCTTCAGGAAAACCAACCTGCAAACACAAGTCCAGAAAACTTTATAATAAAAACTAATACCAGAAGGAATTCACCTCACATGCCAAAATCTACTACAAGATATCCCATGACTGGTGCAGTAGGAGCAGTGTTTCAAACAAAGCAATATGCAAAATCACACTAAATGAGAGAATAATAGGAATAAAAACAAAACATTAGTAACCTACCTCCTTAATAAGACTGGCCACATATAGAGCTGTAAGAGGAGTCTGCTCTGCAACTTTCATCACAACAGTGTTCCCAGTCGCCAGGGCCGGACCCAGTTTCCAGGCCTGCATCATTAGAGGGAAGTTCCACTGCAGGGAGGGAGAAAATTGAAGCAAGCTAAGATACAATCACATTATTTCATTGTAATATAATTGTTTCAATCTTATTTTACAAGCATGAAAAAAAGAAAAGAAAGACCAACCATGCCACCCTCCTAGAAAACCTACATTTGCACAGGGGAGAAGATGTAAACTCCACATGAAAAGACCCAGGCAGGAGGCAACAGCTCTAACCACACACTGCCCAAATAAATAAATAAATAAATAAATAAATAAATAAATATCCTGATGCATCTCAGTAATCCAGGTAAAAAACCAAAAAGAAAAAAATTGTATAGGTCTTCTGGACGGGTTCTTCTCTAATGAAATGTTTCGTCTCTCCTCCAAGAGACTTCTTCAGTCTGAATTTCAGTCAGAGTTTCAGGCAAAATTCAGGCTTTTAAGCACTGCTTCCATGTGACTGATACTCACATCACATGGCTATCGTTGACACCTAATTAACACTTATTGTTAACAGGGGGTGGAGTGATACTGGCAATGGCCGCGCTGTAGGAGGGGGACAACATATAATAAAATCAGATGATGACATKTAAATAAATAAATAAATAAATAAATAAATAAATAAATAAATAAATAAATAAATAAATAAATAAATAAATAAATAAATAAACAAACTGGTAATTAGGATTGCACCAGTTTATTATTGGTCTGGTTCTCATGGGAGAACCCAGGGTTGTTGTTTGGTACTGATATAAACTAAATTCATTTAACACATTTATCTAGAGTGGTGTCAGGGCCTTTATTATCACCCTGTTGTTTTATGACACCTATCAGCTGGCAATGTCTCGGGACATCATGCCAAATCAGAGTTTTATTTTGTTTTTTACTCTGCATAAATTTTGTAAACTACCCAAGTGGCCAATGGGCTGACCCATGGGCATATGTCATCTCAAACTAAACATTTCATGTTTAAATGTCTGTTAGATTACACTTGACCCTGAGATGTACAGCTCCTGTAGTTTGGCCTTCTAGATCTTTGGCCTTTTTTAAACCAGCTTTCCACACTCTGCAGACCAAGCAGCAAATATCTGTCTTTTGCACAGAACAAATGTTTTATTCGTTAGACTGATTTCTTCTTTAAAAGACTATTTTATTCAAAAATATTATATTAAGATGGTTTCAGCTCATGTAATCATTTTAAAATTATTTATTCTTCATATTTTATCATTTATTGAATTACATTTATCCCAGACCAGCTGTGTCACAGTATGATTCTAAATATAAACATGTTTAGCACATCAAGAACCTTGTTCTTATCATAAAATTGTAAAGAATGAAATTTGTGGATCTTTCTGATAAATTAAAAACATTTAAAACTCATTCACAGAACATGGCAAGTTTGTATTTTTATTTTTTTGGATGGGGGGGGGGGTGACATTAAACAGATTCATCTTTGCTTTGATATCGGGCAAATAAATATTCTTCTGTTAGAGGTAATATGGTTTATAAGAACTCAAACAGTGAATCTCACAGAAAGACTCTCAGCCTGCGCGTGCTGAGGTGCGTTCCTGTCTCTCAGAAGGAGAGAGTTTAGTCACTGACGCAAAGTTGGACAGATCTGTTTGATAACAATGCTCTGAACATATAAGTAATATAAAGTTAGGTTTTAGAGACCAAAGTCTCTGGTAGTTCAGGAGCAAGGTGCAGGAGGAGATGTAAGGACTGATCGCTGCAGCCGCTGCTTATCTCTGCTGAAAACGACTCTGACTGAAAGTCCCGCCCTGCTCTGCTCTGATTGGATAAAACGGCTCTGAGGTTTGTCTGATTCGTTGAAAGCCGTGTCCGTTTAATCCTTACACAACAGGGGCCCGCTGACCTCCTCTGGCAGAACGACGATCCAGTCACACCAGTGAGGCTGGATTTTTTTTTTGTTTGTTTGTTTTGTTCGTTTTTAAGAAATCGGGTCGCATTTGCGACCCTGATAGCTGTTGTTTTCACAATCTCAGGTACAGTCTTAGGTACACAAGGGAACTTTATGACATTCCAAAGTGGTGTGCGTTTTTCTTTTTTGATCGCGCATGCGCACCACTTATGTGCAACTCTGCATATATGTATATGTATGTGGCAGTCTGCTATGAGTCTGGCCCCGACGTCCTGAAGCACATGGGGTTAGTCAAAAAGTTGAAGTATCTGGTGGCAGCTTCATCGGTCACAAGAGAACACCCAGAAGTCCGGAAAGTTCATACATTCGGTTTTCCCTTGGGAGCCCCGGGAAAATGGTACAGGAGCAACTACAGAGTCCTGGAGCACATGGGCTTTAGCTGCAAAGCAAGATCTAACTGGGCTAAGCTCTTGTGCAAAAGAGTGTTAAAGAACACCATCTCTACAATAAAGGCTTTCAGGAGGGAAGCTTGTAGAGTTTGATCGGATTGACAGATGCACAGGTGGGAATAGCCTTCAGTGTGGGGGCGACTTTCTGCCTTAGGTCTTACCGAAATGGAGCCACGGTTTCCTGGGTACCCTCCTGGCAGACCTACAGTGACGGCCTCAGGATACATGATTCCAAGGAGCCATCAGGCAGACTGATGTCACCCTCCTATGGAGGGCGGCTGTAAGTCTTAGGTCTCACCAAAATGAGGCTGTGGTTTCCCAGGTGACCCCCGGCGGGACCTACGGGTTAGGCCCTGGGATACACAGGCTCAAGACAATTTTGCTTTGGAAATGAGAGAGGCTTGGTTCCAGTTTAAGGTCCAAATCGCCTCAGGGAATAATGAAACTAAGGGAATTGAACGGAGCAGACTTTGTCTGTGCACCTCTGAGAGTCAGCCCTTTCTAGGGCCGGCTATATGACCTGGTAGGTTCTGAGTTCTACTCGGCTAGGGAGTGCTGGTAGTGTTTGGAAAAAAACTCCCCCCATTGCACCATCCTGTGCCCTTACAGCGGGGAGTTCCGGTTCCTGCTTAAGGTCCAAAACGGTAATGGAGTGATGCCACCTGGTAGGGTTCCTCGGCACATGTGGGCGTCAGGAGATGGCACAAGAACAGGACGGAGTTATGTGCCTTAAATTTGTCGGCGTGGTATGTGTCGCGGGGACTCTCCAACAAGGGACTTCGGTCCATGGATCTGGGCACTTTGCAGGTCGGGGAAATCACCCTTAGTACCTGGCCTGCTACGCAAAGGCTTCGGCTGGCCCAGATCCCCTCCAAAACCGTCTTTAACGCTGGTAGTACGGAAAAGCTCGGTAGTGGCACCGATGCTTTAGCAGTGGGTATATGGCTGAGTACAATCAAAGCAAGTACCTTCCTGCTATGAGTTAGCTTATCCTCACTGTACTTCGGTTTTGTCCCACAAAAAGATAGGCAGGACTCAGACCCTTAGGGTGCTGATTCCTGCCGGGCCTGGAGAGCTTGCAGACGGTTTCATAGTTGGATGGTGGCTACATGGCTGGTGATTCCGCATATTGCAGTCAGTGACAGAAATGGGGCCCGTCGTCCTAAGAAATCATGCGATGAGCGGACAAGGATCGACACTACTATGGATGGCGGTGAATGAGCAAAAGAACTGGCGCTCACATTAGTGCTGGGTGGTATACTGTTTTGTACCGAAAACCGGTTTTTGTTTTTGTTACGATATGAATTGTCTGAATACCCAACATAGCGGTTTAAATAGCCTGAAAACGTGCAGAACGTTTTGTCGTGGCCACCAGTGAACTGTTTCCTGGGGGACACGTTTCCCGCAGCACCGCTAAGGGCATTAGCATGCTAACGTTGCAGCAACTGGAAGTGGGTGGTGTTTCAGCTGCTTATATTGACTGACATAAAAAAAACATCACATTTTCACCTCCGCTGAATAAAGTAAACAATTCTTCAGTGACGTACACGGTTAGATTTAACACGCGACGCTATAATGGAGAAGTTAATCCATGGAGACTTTAACGTGCTTCTATTGTGAAAAGCCCAGGGGATGTAGTTTTGTAGTAGAGCTGAGTTGATTGGTGTGCAAGGTGAGTCGTCCTTAAGTTTTATTAAGAGACAACGATTAACCCGATAATGATCTTTTCTCAACCCTTCATGATCGGACTAAAATGCATGATTACTGTCTACAACCAGGCAAAGAAGAATAGACATAGAAGAGAAGAGTGTAATGTTTTGTGTTTATAATGAACTGTGATACAGAGGTACAGTAAAGGAAAAAAAGTCAATAAGCAAAGTTTGTACGTTTTTTCATCAGTTGAGCTGTGAGGAAAAAAAATACCGTCAAATACCGTGAAACCGGTGTAATTGTTGAAAATACCATGGTATAAAATTTGGGTCATACCACGCAGCTCTAGCTCACGTTGACGAGAGACAATAAACACCTTGAAATGGGGGCCCCTGGCACGCACATTCTGTGGCTCTGCTGGGGATACTCAGGTCGAGCCTAGAGAAGGATCAAGCACCGACACCTGGTACTCTGTCAAACTCAATTAGCCCTGCCATGTGCAGGTCATGCGGTTGGTGACGCACGCCCAAAATTCAGAATGTCAAGGTGAAGAAATTCAATGAATAGGGTTTAAATGGCGGATGTACACATTGGGACTTCTGTAGAAAAATACAACATAATAAAGTGTCTCCAAGCATAGCAAATAAGTATTTTTACTTATACTGGAGCCAGAGTAGGTGATCAGATAATACTGTACTCCGGTTGGATAAGCAGTATGTTAATGTGCCGTGTCGCTGAGGGATTTAAATAATAATTGCTTGTAGTTTTTGAGTGTTTTTATGGCCTGGAATTGAACAGGGAATGTAAATAAACATTAATGTTTTTGGTACAAGATATTCAAGTAGGCAGGGGACAAACAGTGTATAAGTACAGAGGTAGGTGTTTTTGCTTGTCTGAGGCGGAGCAGAGTGACTGATCTACCACCAGGTACAACAACAAAGCCTGGGGTGGCCAATGGCGGTCTAGCCCACCATTGGTCACCACACTGGCCAGACCAATCATTTGAGGAAATTATACTTTTTCCAGTGGCCATCTTGGATTTTAACGTGGTTAACAATTTTCAATATTGACATTTCTTATGCCTACACACAGCCACAAACACTAAAAAGGAAGTTGCTTATTTTTCCAAGATATCAGCTCACAAGATGGACAGATAGATTCTTCAACCCATAACGAGTGACAAAAAAGTAGCACTGGTGAATCCCTAATGTTAATTTGACAGTATGGTGTTTTTGATATCTTACATGTAATATTTTAAAATGGCATTTGTCTCTAAATAGAACATAATCTTCCACAGATTGTAACTAAACAAACATACACACACTGAATATGAACACACACAGGTATTATCTGCCCACAGACTCCAACAGGTTCATGTCTGGTGTAGCAGAAGTATTCTCCATCAATAGGGATGGTCTTCCCCTCAAACTTGTCAGCCCAACCTGCATAATACCTAAACACAGTGAAGAGGAGTTTTATGAAACACATCTACAAGTAAGATTTTCTTAAAAATGACAAACTAGCAGAATAATAAAAAAAAATTCAGAGTAAAACCTGAAGAATTTAACCTATAAAACCCACCACAGTCAAACTATGCTCTGACAGCTGTTTGGGATCATACCACATCAGGACACATTGGGCCTCATGCAAGAACTGTTCGTACGCACAGATTTGTTCTTAAGTTGTGCATGTGAGTGATTTAGGAAAATTTGTGGCATTCACCAGTTTTCTCGTATTCTAAGACTTTTTTCAGATACGAAAAAAATTCACGAGTGGTCCAGACCTGTCGTATATTTTACAATCAGTCTGCTGTTATCCAGATGGATTTTTCTTATTAATAACGTTATATTACATTAGTTTGAAGATATTTTGAATTGAAAATAAATCACTTTTTTAAGCCATAAAATAAAATATATAAATCACACTCGTAAATTATATTAATAGGCTATTCTGTTTGAATTGGAATTATGTTAAATGTAATAACGAAGACTGACGACATAAATTGGTTAAATTAACTTGGCTATTAATGCTGTTGTATAGCACTGCAGTATTAATATGAAGATCTCAAACTACAAACCAACTTAAATTATGCATTAATTTAAATTTGAGACATTTTAAAATGTTTTTCAGAATCGCATCTGACACTTGCGACGGCTGAGGGAGGGGTGGGTGCCTGCTCGTCTTCTGAATAATTGAAAACCAGTTGTTTACATTTAAATTAAAAAAAAATACCAAAGAAAAACCAGAGCAGGACTAGAGAGAGATGAATATGATTTCGATTTTTATTTCTGTGACTGTATATGATCCACGGGAGACACGACATTAACAGCAGTCATTATTTCATTCCTCTGCTTTGGCAGGTTCTTAAATTCCACAGCTGACACTGCTAAAAATGACAGATTTTCTTTTCTGGATCTCTGAGAGAACTTCAATCTGCGAACTCATGAAGTTCTTCTTTTTACTTTGTCCTGTCTTTTATGAGTGAACACTTCCTGGTATGTGGGGCAGGAAGTGTAGCCTTACATTTGGGGTGGTAATTATGCTAATCTCTTCTCCTCATGCACGAGCACCTGAATACGCATTCATCAGCTCATTTACACACTTTTCCTGAAGATAGAAGACTTTGTTGAAAGAAAAGTAAAAGAAATTTAGAATAAGAATAAGAAAATATTCTTGCATGAGGCCCATTGTTCTTAAAAACAAACACATTTAGTGCTCTTTGTTACCTAAGACATTTAACCACCATGGGAAGATCCACAGAGTAGGCAACGGCATATGGCTTCCCATTATCCAGAGTCTCCAGTTCCTGTGAAAAGATATAAATACATGAATCAAAAAAAAAATTTCTGGACAATACATACACCTCAGCATCACTATGTGCAGACTGTTGTTTTAAAATGAAAACAAGTGAATTAAAAATGAATGAAATGAAAATAAAATTTAGTTTTAAAAATTTTCAAAACAAGCTATCACAAAAAAATAACAAACAGCAAAGAAATGTTTAATAAAAATATTTAGCCATATTTTAATTATTTAAAAAAGATCCTCCATGATGTTTAACGGGGACATCTTGAGCAAAATTCACTTTTTTATCCTAGGAGGTCAGAAAAGATTAATTTAGTCTCTCGGTGCTGCAAAGATATATCTTTATATTCTTTATGAGTTATATTTTTGAACCTGTTCAGTTTTCTGATTTTTGCTAGGATTTCTGAACTATTATGTCAAAGGTTTTACGACTGAACAGACATCAGGTCTGGGCTTACCAACTACAATTTGGTGGTCTTCTTTCTCCTCTCTCTCTGGGTCAGACTCAAGTCTTACCTCATTGACATCTTTTAATTAATTTGTATATAAAAAGTTCCTGCATCGCTAGATAATTGTATCAAACTAGAATGGATCGGACTGAAAGCTGGAGGGGGCGGGGCCTGAGGCGCCTCATTTGGATTTAAAGAGACAACCTCAAAACGAGTTGATCTGGGACACACCTCAGAAAAGGAGTGAAAGAGGGGCTTGTGGAGTTACAATGAGGAGGAATTCAGACTAAAGCATTGAAGTTCCACTTTATAAAGACCCCAACTGAAGGATTTAAATGTAACACAGGGGGATTTAAAAGCATAATATGTATGTAAACAATCTGTATAAACAGCATTATGGTCAACTCATCTGTGTTTTAGTTTAATCATTTATGTATCTAATGTAAACATCCAGGCCTTTCCATATTTAAAACACTCTTCTTGTAATCTGACATWATAATTACTTACAGCCAGGTAGGCAGAATCCCTCTCAATAGCATCAGCTAACTTGTTGAGCAGCAGACCACGATCAGAGGCATCCATCCGGCGCCATGGAGAGCCCAACCTGAAGGCATCACGRGCTGCCTTCACTGCCTTGTCTACATCTGCCTAGAAACACGTAAAATATGGATGCAAATACCACAGTAAGTAATGGTACAAGTCAGATTAAAACAGAGATAAGCTCTTCCTCYTGAAAACATTTGGACATTCTTCCCTGATTACAGGGGCGTGTTCCAACAGGACAAAAATGTCCGGTTCAAATTGTGAAAGTGTATTTGTTGTGTTTTTCCCCCAAACAAGTTTCAAAAATACTTAAAAATATGGACAGCATTCTTTCAGATCAACAGTTACACAGTTTTTCTGTAGCAGACTTCTTACCGCATCGGCCTCGGCAACATGACAGATGACCTCCCCRGTTGATGGATTGACAGTGGGGAAAGTTTTTCCACTTACTGCATTCTGCCACTCATTGTTTATAAACAGCTGAAAAACAAAATACTTCATTAGACATGTAGTATTTACAGTAACTGAATCCTGACACTTGTTCATATGGGACATAATGTGAAATGTTTTCCACATTTCATGTGTGAATTTTGAATCAAAGTGTGAAATTCACAAGAGAAAATTTTTTCCCAAGTTAAAATCACATATTCTGCACACTTTGTACAAAGTTTTATTTATAAAGCACCTTTCACAGTAATATATTCACAAGGTGCTGTACAATCATTAACAGTATAAAAATGGTGGAAAGAATAAAATGAAACAGAAAAACATCATTACACATAAGCAACGAAAAATTGAAACATCAAATCAAGAAAATAATTTCAGAAATTGTAAATCAAATACAAGGTCAATGCAGTTCAAAATATACAATAATACACAAAAACATAATGAATGCGAGAGAGAAAAATATGGCATAAGTTAATAGTAAATAAAACACAGATTGTCGAGCATTCACAATGGAGGTACGCCTGCAGTAATGGTGAAATGGTTAGCTAAACGCTTGAGTGAAAAAGTGAAAATTTAGTTGGATAGCACAGTATTAATGTCTGAAAATAAGCTGCTTAAAGTCAGCATCAACCATTAACTAAATGATATTTCCATATTTATTTCAGATTTAGTCAGTCGTACACTTAATTCTTCTCAGTGTTTAAAAGAGGACGTGTTAAAACACCGTTTAGTCAAAGTTAAACATGAAACGTCAAAGTTCATTATAAGCGGCCCTTCGAGGGCCACCATAACGCTCATGTGGCCCTCTGTGAAAATGAGTTTGACACCCCTGGTAAATGGCATCACGAGGAAAGATCATGTGGAAACATCAAAGCAATATATTGAGACATCTTGGTACAAAACTCCATTGTGAGAATCTTGTAAAAAAAAAAAGGTCAAAGTCATACAGTTTAAAGGCAATGCTATCCAACGCTAAGAAAATGGATGGAAACGTGACTTTGAAGGAAAAAAAAAAACAAGTTTTCAAAAAATTAATTCACTCTGACTATAATTAAAAAAATTGGGAATCCTGACTGAGGAAAAATATAATTCTGGGTGTTTCTATAGAGCGTTGTCGCCTTATCATGAAACTCATGATCTCAGCAAACAGAGTCCAGATTAAATGCCTTTTTATTCTGGCATAGTGAAAAAAAAATCAGCACTCACTCTAGAGATAAACAATTTTGTGCATTAACTTCATGTTTCCCATTATTTACAATCAGCCAACCTGTGAAAATTCAATACTTTTACACCAGTTGTAATGTATCTAATACTTTTATGTTTAAGCTAGTAATTCATGACATCCTTTAATGACCTAGGTTTTCATGACATTCTGTTCATCTGCAGATAGAATGATTAAAGTCACAACAAGATTTGCTAACAACAGTCATTTTTAGATATCACTTGTGTTCATCTTTGTGTTTTCCATTGACCTTGTATCAAATCTTGCTAAGATGACAGAATGCTGTATATGAGGTCTCTCGAGACACAGTGTTCAACAGCAGTGTGGAGAGACTGACAGAGAGAAGCAGAGGCACAGAGACAGGCCAGGTTATTCTGTGTTTCCTATTGTTGCAATAAAACTCTGCTGATCATCTCACGGAGTACCTTCATTCTTGGACCACATATTTCTGTCTTTGTTAAATAAATATTTACCATAACAGTTGGCGTTGTCGGCAGGATCCACTAGGAGATCGACGGACCAAGGCCACATTGCAGGTGGACTGATATGAGTGAGCAAGGACTGGACTGCTTAGGACCGTGTCTCCGTGTCTTGTTAAATAAATATTTACCATAACACCAGTTAAAACAAAAAAGAATGGAGTTGTTCTTTTGACTTTATCATGCTGTTACACAAGGAAGCAGTGTGTTTTAGGTGTATCTTAAAGTCCATCCAAAGGTGTGTTTCTAATTAACTCAGATGTTATAAACCTATCAGAAGCTTCCAAAGACATGACATCAAATGTCCCAAGTTGTTTAAAGTACGGCTGCCACGATTAGTCGACGACTAATCGATTATTAAAATAATCGATGACTAATTTAATATTTTTTTTCTTTACTTTGTTTTTCTCTCCAAACTGCTTTGACACCTTCCACTGCCACATCTGCCTTTCTGTCCTTGACACACATGCGCAGTAGTGGTAACTGGGGTAGGCCGTGGACGTCACAAGACATTATACAGACAGGCTCTGGTATCATGTTTACCCAGCAACGGAGCTCAAAAGTGTGGGATCATTTTAAGAAAATGAAAGAGAAACGTGTGCAATATCTGTAACGCAGAACTTTTCTTCCACAGCAATTATTTTAGTTAGCATAAAGCTAAAATCTAATGATGGTTATATAATAGCAGCTGCATTCTGGCGCGATAAGTTGCATGTTTTATATTCAACTAACGTATGATCTGATTAGTCAACTAATCGAAAAAATAATCTGTGATTAATCGATTATAAAAATAATCGTTTGTAGCAGCCCTAGTTTAAAGTCGTAGTCATCTTAGTGTATTTAAACTTTAGACTTTGAATAACATAATAAAAATTGTCTTAAAAAACTTATCTCTCTCAATATTCTGGCATTTAGTAAATAGGAAAATGTTGGTAATCCTTATTGACCTAAAACAAGAAAAATTTCTGATTTCACATCAGAGTGTAAAAAAAATGCATGGGTGTCTTTTTGGTCATAATGCTGTTAATATCACTGGGATTTTAGAGACACTATAGTATTTAGTACAGTATATTTATAGTGAAATTATTTCACAACAGTATAACCTAACCTCGAATTTGCATCTTCAGATTGATATTTTAGGCACCAAATCTAACATTTGAACAGCGTGTGTCCTTTTTCTGATTAGAAGTTGGTTAATCCCAATAAACAAAAAACAAACAAAAAAATAACTGAAACCTGTCCCATCGTTGACTTTCCTTTCATTTGCATCCAAACAAGTAGCTCTTGAAACTTCTGTCAACGCCTAGATTACTACTTTGCCTCATTAGATTGTTTGTACTACTCATTGTCTAAATTTGTTTAATGCTACTGTATTTTATGTACATTTTTCTTTTCTACAATGTAACTTTTGTGTCAACTACCCTGTGACGTGTGCTGCTGTATGGAGGACCAAACCTATCATTATTGGAAATAAATGTATAAATATATACAGTGGTTTGCAAAAGTATTCATACCCCTTGAACTTTTCCATATTTTGTCACATTACAACCACAAA